TAAATGTTACTTAATACTAATTATTATAAACAGGGCATTTACTTAAATACTTGTATCTATAAAAAAAAGAACGTTAAACATAAAAATGTCTTTAATAAATAAATTGTCGGACTTTGTCCATTTCTTAATATATATATAATTATTTATATATTATATGCGCGGTACTCATTAGAAAGCGCTCAATATCAGAAACAGAGCTAACATATTTGGTTGGATTGATGTGAGTTTGTGACCCTGGGTTTCACGCTTTTGCGATCGTCAGACAAACTTATATATATATATATATATTTGTCTCCCGGAAATCCGGTTGAGCTCTCTAAGGAAAGGAGGTCTGAAAAAGTAACAGTTCCTACTGCTATTAAGCATTACTCTGCAAGTATGAATTGAGTTCTCCGAGCCGCTGGCGTATTTCGTATAGAGAAAAACGTTAAAATTACTTTTCTTTCTGCCGTGCGACGATGGCCTAGAGGTAAGATATCTGACTGATGTCAAATCTGTCGGGTTTCGATCAATCGGACGTCTAGCCACACTGAGAAGCTGTGATACAGCGAAACAGTCTGTCTGTTTAATGGACCATATATGACACAAAATAACACTATATGGAAAAATATGCTAATATATAATGTATTGTTGGGATAAATACATTCTATAAACACATGTTGTAGGGGAAATTATTTCTAAGAAGATCATCAGGTAAAATTAGAAAGTCATCTGGTGCACCCGTCCAGGTGTGAGCTACCACAGTCTGTTACATATCTAAAGTCTCTTATCTCACTATACTCTTTCTTTTACCGTGACGATGTTGTAGAAGGAGGATCGGTGGTGCTGCTATCGTCGTTGCCACGAAGGACCTGGGTGTCCGATTTGGGCACCCGTGATGATCTTGCGTCCTTATGATGAGCCTTTGTAAACATTTATGCGAGCGTCGTCTTTTCATCAACTTCGTTTTTGTTTTTTTGTTTTTGTTTTTTTGTTTTTTGTTTTTTTTAAGCATTTCACCCCAAACAAGACAGGAGTTCCACTAGTACACAAGGGGTTACAGAGTGGGAGTGAGAGTAAAGAGGCGTGATAGAGAAAAGGAGGAAGAGAAGGATAAGCAATAGGGTAGGGCATCTGGAGATGTCGATTGACATTACATTTGAATAGTTGGAGATTATAGCTATCAGGGAAACAAGTAATAGGAAGGGACTTCCACAGACGGGAGGTGCGAGACATGAAGCTATTGGAGCAGAAGAGACAGCCACATTTAATCGTTTCGACAGTGAAAGGGTGGGACCGTGATGCCAGCCTAGTAGCACGCTTAAATTCATGCAGTCTGGGAACTAGCAAACGTAGCTCATCGGTGCAGTGACCGTGAAAGTATTTGTAGAAAAGACAGAGGGAGGCGACAGAACATCTGTGAGATAGCGACTGAAGACGAGATACCAAATCAGGACCAACCACATTGCATGGCCGTCACTGGATCTTGTCGAGGACCCTAAGGCGAACAGCGGGGGCACCATTCCATATATGGAAGCAATATTCCATGCAAGGGCGAATGGTTGATTTATAGATTTGAAGGATGGACTCGGGTGGGAAAAACTTTCTGGCGCGACACAGAGAACCAACTTTCCTTGCAGTAGATGAAGCTATTGATTCAATGTCATTGTTCCATCTCAGGCCAGCGGACAGTGTGAGACCAATCAGTCATAAAGAGGTGCTCTCGTGGAGTTGAGCATCAGACATTCTAATGGGTGGCACGGAAGGTTCCCTATGGTGAGTAATAGAGAACAGTTTTGTTTTAGAGGCATTAAAGTTAACCAGCCAATTCCTTGCCCATTCTACAACCGATTGGAGGTCCTTTTCGAGACAAACAGCTAGGTTTTGTCAGCGATTCCAGACTTGCTATTTGAGGCAGAAATAAATAGCAGTGTCGTCTGCATAGATGCTTACTTAGGAACTAATGATCCCGGGAAGAAAGTTAATGAAGATAAGGGACAGAGTAGGGCCCAGGATCGAACCTTGGGGAACATCTGCGTTCGTGGGGAAGGGACTAGAGGAGAATCCGTTAAGGCCGTCCATCATTACACGGTTTGACAGGAATGATCGTATTAAGTCAAATAATCGACCTGAAATACCATATTCCTTAATCTTACGAAGGGGGGCGGCATGCCAGACCTTATCAAACGCTTTAGAGATATCTAGAGCCACGGCACGAGATTCTCCTTTATTATGGAGTGCTTGGTAAGCAATTTCAGTTATGGCCGTGAGCACATCAGCTGTCAGCAATCTCTCTGTAATTGAAATAAACAGAGCACAATTTCATGCTCATTGATACATTAGCGTTCTTCAAGCCCAGTAACTGCTCACACATTTTCATCTGATCGTCTATAATTATTCTTTCGCTAGTGTTCGCAAAATGCCGCTGCCGTTACTACTGTCAATTCGTTCTTTTCTGTTTTTAACCCCATATTGATAACAGCTGGCGACGCCTGTTTGTTTACAACACCGCCGGACTAACCGTACAGCCGGACATTCTATACCGCTATACCAGACTCAGGATTGAGCTCTCTGGATATCATCTTCCTCAGGTCTACCCATACGGATTACCTAAATTTGCATAAATATATATATATATATATATATATATATATATATATATATATATGATGTAATGAATATGCATACACCTGGGTTCCCCCTCGCAGTAATATGATTGGCTGGTGTCAGCCATAAATACAGACTGATGTGGAGGTACAGGACGCCGCTTATTGACTACGCCTATAGTCTTCGCCTATTGCCTTACGCCTATTGCCTACCACTACGACGAAGACCACTCCATTACGATTACCTTCTAGATTGTTCTACTCGGTTACAGTAGTCGGAAACCACTTTGCTACTTCGAACAAATATATCCCTTTCCGGAACATATCAATATATATATATATATATATATGAAGAAATATAGTTTTAAGATCTGCTATATTTATGGGATAAAGTGCTCAATATCAAAGATAGAGCGTATGTAAATATATCCCGCCAAAAATAACCGCCAGAATAGACTACAACAACCAATCCAAAAATTAGACGTAAAAATAGCTATAACTACTATATATGTTGATAAAAAAAACATTACGTTACTCAAAAATCGAAAACCAAATAGAATAAAAAGAAATATACAAAATAAAATTAAGGAAATAAATTAAAAAAAACTAATAAAATTAATCCCACTACATAAATAAATGAACAAATTAACAAATCGCCCCCGCTAAAATAACCGTTAGAACTAATAAAAAATAAACATAAATAAGTGAAAACAAGTAAAAATAATCAATCCAAATAAATAAATTAAAAACTGTCCAACCGCCGAAATAACAGAATAGAGTACGGCAAGCAATCTAAACACTGAAGGAATAAATAGCTTTAATTATCTTCCCAGTCCAAAACAAACTATTAAATAAACGACCTAAGCAAAGCCCCTCCAAATTTTTTACTACGTTAATAAAACATCAAAAACCGAAAAGAATAAATAATACAAAATGAAAAACAAGTAAAACAAATTAACCCAAACAAAGAAATAAACAAACAAGCCACTCCCGCAAAAATAACCGCCAGAATAGATTACCCACAATGCATCACTGACCCATATATATAAATAGCCGATGAAAAATGCAGCATTCGAGGCCCGACGATTGCGTCCAGCATGAAACAGCCTGTCGCCTCTGAGTGTTGATTTCAATATATATATATATATATATATATGTATATATATAAGTGAACATAGAAGTCAACACTTAGTGGCGACAGTCTGTTTCATGCTAGATGCAATCGTTGTTGGCCTGACGATTGCATATAGCATGAAACAGAGTGTCGCCTCTAAGCGTTGACTTCTATGTTCACTTTTATATTTACATACGCTCTATCTCTGATATTGAGCACTTTATCCTATAAATATAGCACATCTTAAGACTATATTTCTTCATATATATATATATATATATATTGCCTTTAAACATAGATTTTTCTACGACTATGTGCACAGTTTCGTAAACAAAGCGTAAACACAGTAACGTAAACAAACCAATTTATAAAGAAAGGATTATTTCATTAATCTGAACAAATAGATAATAATAAGTCCATTACTTTCGTTAAAAATTTCTTTTTTATGGTAGGATACGTAAATGCACAGATGTGTTTATATCGAAAGTCGAATAAAAAGCTGTGTTTAAAGGCACTTTTCAGACTTTACCTGGGTATTCATGCGCTCTGTGGCCGAGAGGTCAATAATTATTATACTTAATTTATATGTCCAGACAAATTTGATATTTTGAGATGTTGGGTTAAGGAAAATTCAATCTTTTTTTTATTTTATTTTTTTGTTGCTATCAAGTCGATCAAGTCAAGGTGGAGCCCGGGATATCTGTCTATTGATAAAAACTTCCTTTTTTCAAGTAGAAATTTGTGGTAGTGTCTATGTTCCAACAAATCGTCTGGCTTTCAATAGCAATACATTTGTCATTTTATTTTTTATTTTATTTTTATTTTTATATAAATTTCAATAATGATTTTTTCAAAACAGGCATTCAAATATTATTTAGTTACATTTTTAATATATTTTTTATTTTTATTCGTACTGACTTAAGATATAAATTATAAATCTCATTGTTCTTTCCTATTATATATATATATATATATATATATATATATATATATATATATATATATTGTCGCAGTGTGCCCAAACACCACTCCCACCGTTTCTTAAACAACCCCGGCTATGCCTGCCGATAGAGAAAGGTCACGGCCCTTGTGTGCTAAAAATAGCAACGACATCCTTTCAAACTGTCAGAAACACACAAAACTCAATTTTCGCCACTAAACAAAAATAAAAGACCTTTAATTTCGAACCGAAATTAATTTAAATAGAGTCAACAAACACCGAACACACTTTTGACTGTAATTAATACGGCCCGGAATTAATTATATTCATTTACTTGTTTAGCGTCACCGCTTTCTCTTGTATGAACCGTCATATCTATATCCCCGAGACTTCGCAGCGGTTTTTAGCCGGCCCGGGGGAGCAGCCCGGCCTTCGGGCTGGGTTGCGACCCATGGCAAAGTCTAGTTTGGACCATATCAGGACCTGCTAAGACAAGCTACAATAACTTGGACCAGAACTTGACTAAGACCAGCTTGGACATGTTATGACCAAAACATTGAATAAGCCTTGACCAGCTTGGACATGTTATGACCAATCTTTGACCAGTGACCCTATGCGGAAACGCTGGGGTTTTTCCACGAAAAACGACCTTGTGTCACGACTTGACCGCGTGGGGTCAAGTATTCCCACGAAAACGACCTTGTGTCACATCTTGACCTCGTGGGAGTCAAGTAAATACCGCCGGCCCGGGGAGCAGCCCGGCCTTCGGGCTGGGTTGCGACCCATGGCAAAGTCTAGTTTGGACCAATACCAGGACCTGCTAAGACAAGCCAAGACCAACTTGACTAAGCTTTGACCAGCTTGGACGACCCAAAACATTGACTAAGCCTTGACCAGCTTGGACATGTTACCCAATCTTTGACCAGTGACCCTGTGCGGAAACGCTTGGGTTTTCCCACGAAAAACGACCTTGTGTCACGTCTTGACCGCGTAACAAGTAATCACACGAAAAACGACCTTGTCATCTTGACCTCACCAGTCAAGTTACCGCCGGCCTCCACTCAGGAAGCCTCCCTGATTCGAGACTTTGCGCCCAGTCAAGTCGACCAAACCCAACAGCTGACGGGACCCAGCAGCAGTAGCAGCAGTTGTTCAAATAGTCCTTTTTCAGGGCTAACTTCCGAATGTCATTCGATCACCACTCTTCGAGGCTCCACTCACTTCACTCTTGGCTACTGCCTTCCCTCTGTGACGCCAGCTCACTCCTGCAGCTTCCAGCACTCTTCCAGCTCTCTCCTGCACCTTCCAGCTCTCCTGCAACTTCCAGCAGTCTCCAGCTCACCCCTGCGGCGCTCTACTGACGTCCCGCGACCTATTCCAGCACCCGCTGACGACCTTATCCAGTGCCCACTGACGTCTAGCGCCCGTTATCGTCCGGACACCGTTCAAACGACCTCTGTCTTCTTACCATCCACCGTTTGCAAATAAAGACACGATTTCCATCGTCTACAACGGACCATCTGCGTTTGTCATCCTTCTTTGCTATTGCCATCTCCTTGCCCTTGTGTCCCCTTTTTAGTTGTACGGTCGATTGGCACTCACACCTCTCGGCCCGCTGCAACAATATATATATATATATATATATATTTATTAAGACGTGTCTAATTAAATAATTTAGACAAGTTTTGTCTTCTTAGTTTTAATAAGTTTTATACAGTACATAACCTTAGCGTCTTTCACTTCACACCTAAAATATGAACACAACAATTTCGTCTTGATGAAAACAACATTTTTTTTGTCTTAGAAAGACGTGACCCTGATGACGACATTGTGCTAATGTCGAAAGTACTCGGAATAAAACGAATATGCATAACATGTAATTTTCTTTCTTCTTTTAATAAGGATACTAAGAAACTTGTTCGTAATTACAAGAGGATTCTATTAAAAATAGGTAGATAAAACTTGTCTAAATTATTTAATGAGGCACGTCTTAATGAAAAGATGCTGCCAAAATATATACAATATATATATATGTGTGTGTGTGTGTACGTGTTTGTCGTATGTATAATAGTATCGGATATAAAAATGGAGATTACAAAACAAATTGGAAAAGCTTTAAAACGACGCGTTTGTTGTATACGGCATCTTCTAAATGCGTTGGAATTTTTGAGATTAAGAGAGGCAATAAATTAAATTACCTTATCAGATCTGACGACCAAAGACCAAAATGTTTTTTGTTTTGTTTTGTTTTTTTTTCTTATATATATAGTAGACCCGTTGTTGTCCGTTGTATTTTAAATCAGTCCAATGATGTACATCGGCGAAACATCCAGAAACCTGACATGAACATCGCCGAGATATGCTGCATGACAACACGTTAAACGCACAGGTTGTTCACCACAAAGTGCCTCACAATGACGGATGTTTCTATTTTGCCTTTAAAGCATGTTCACTTGTTCAAATAGCAGTAAAGGCACGCTGGATCAGACGTTGGTTTCTCCTGCAGAGGAGGAACGCAGGCCGGTCGATGAAATAAACACTGTTTAGAATAAGCAGGGCGTCCACTTAACTACGACTAGCCGCTAAAAACAACGTTTAAAGTAGTAAAACTATGGTGCATTGAAAGGTGGAATTAATTCTTGGTAGATTACACAAGTATATATGTGCGAGTATGTGTGAGAGAGAGAGAAAGAGAGAGCGGGAGAAAGAGAGGTGAAGAAAAAGGGAATGTGTGCGTATATGTATGCAAGTGGGCAGATGTCTTGTGTACATTTTTGTGTACGTGTGTGTGTGTACGTGTTGTGTGCGTGTGTGTTTGTGTTCTAGTTCGTGCGCACGGGTATGCGTGCTTTTGCGCGCAGTTGTGAGTGTTCGGGCGCGCGGTAGTATATGTGTGTGCGCGCATGTGTGGTTAGTCTAGCCCTGTTTATAACAAAATCTGGCATGCCATGCGTAGCCATTGAACTGATTTTTATTGATGGCAGTTTGTTTTCGTTTTGGCTTTTGTTTTTTTCATTACAATACATATACGAACACACGCACACACACACATATGCTCGCACTATATAAAAACACGGAAAAAAGCATATATATATATATATATATATATATATATATATATATATATATATATATATATATATGCGTATAGGAGCCTCTATGAGATCGATAAAAAAGACCATAGCATTATGAAAAAAAAAACAAACCTGACGAAACCAAAATTTTGTCGTCAAAATGTTTGTTATTATTAAGAGGAAAGAACAAAGTATTTTTAATTATTATTTTTTTTAATTTTTCCTTCTTTTTAGAACATTCTAACTTTTGATTTAAAAAAACTTGTTTCTCTTTGTGTCAGTGAAAGTATTAAATAACTATATTTCAATTTAAACTGAGGGTACCTACAAATATTAGGTACCTATCTTATGGAATTTATATGATCTTATTTTTATATTACCTCAGTTATGACATTTTTCCATAAATGAAATATCAAAATTAATAATAAAATGAATGAAAATACGAATAACACAGTAAAATGTAATAAATGTACATAAAATTAAAGTATTTTATGTACACTTCTGATAAAATTTCATAAGAAAGGTACCTATAAATTAATTAGATACCTGTTTAATGAAATATTATCTCACTCTCAACAGTCTTATATTATTTTTTTTATAATATATTTTCCATAAAGCATCGTAAACGTAAAGGTGAAGGTTAAGTATTAAAAGAAACACAAATTAGAGCGCTGAAAGTTTTCCTTAAATATAGCGAGGTAAATAAGTTGGTTAACTTAAATGTAAATCATTATGTTACTTCGGTCCTTCCGTACGATAAGCTGTCAACACGTGATGAAAATCATCACTCATTACTTGTCAATCGACACCATTGTCAAGCTCTGCTTCCTCTTATATACATTTTTTCGGCACAGAAAGTAAGTAATGTTTGTTTCATAATATATTAAATAAACTATAAACTTTATAATTTCTAATTCTCTTTTTTTGAAATTTTGAAAAAAGTATAATTGATTTTTGAATGATTTTTAAAAGGAGAATTTCACTTTTGTTTACAAAATTGAAAAATCGTTGACATGATCGATTTTCTGTCAATTTTGCTGACAAAAAACCAAGATTTTTAACAGTAATTTCAGACGTACTAGGAAAGATTAAAAAATGTAAAAAAAATACCCCCAAAATACTTTGATTTTTCCTCTTAATAATAATATACACAATATATATATGTGTGTGTGTGTTTTAGACAATAAAAAATTCCCCAAGTTTAGGGCCCGTTTTAGTGATGCTATGCTCTTTTGTAGAGATGTCATAGAGGATGCTATATGATGACATTGTGTTATGTCGAAAGTACTCGGAATAAAATAATATATATCAACACGGCGATTTTCTCTCTGCCTTTAATAATGACACCAAAAACCTTGTCCGTGACTATGAAAGGATAAAACATGTCTAAATTATTCAATAAAATATGTCACAATATATATATATATATATGTGTGTGTGTGTGTGTGTGTGTGTGTGTGTGTGTGTGTGTGTGTGTGTGAGACGTACCAAGACATGACCAAACTGTTAAACCAACGGTCTGAGGCAATGTCGAAATGTAGACATACCAGTAAATATACTCTGAGCCAGTACGAGCCCGGATGAACAACTTGTTTTTCGGTTCCTCCAACTCTCATCTGATATTAGGTTGGTGCAAAAATAATGTCGTTTTTGACGTGCAACAACGTCAAAAAACGACATTATTTTTTTGCACCAACCTAATATATCTGATAGTTTATTTAAATGGATATGAATAGTGTTACAGATTAACCAGACACAAGTAACAGCCCTGACGAAACCGTTAAGTCGAAACACGGGTAGTGCTTTGCGCCGGTATTTCTCTTAATCTTATATATATATATATATATATATATATATAGAACAAAAATATATACGGAAAAAACAAAAAAAAAATTTTACAATTATGCTGTTTTAATGTTAATATTTCAAAACAGTCTTGTTTCGGTCTAATAAACCATCTTCAGGACATATTCATTTATAACATTATCAATACAACATGACAAAGACGATGTACATAAACAAGACTTATCCAAACAAATAACTGAAAGTTTTATAAGATTAGCGCTCCATTTAAAACAGTCTTGTTCTTATGTACATCGTCTTTGACGTTGACATGTTTAAACATTAAAAACAGACATAATTGTTATATAAAAAATTTATATAAAGTTTGTTTTTTTTTTTTTCCGTATATATTTTTCTTCATACCGTCGGATCTATATCCATATATTTGCTTACATATATATATATATATATATATATATATATATATATATATATATATATATATATATATATACCGTCTCATGTCTGTATGTCTCAATCCTTTTATATATGTCTATTCCTATCAAACTATCTCAATCTGTTTCATGTATAAATGAATGAATGCGTGTATGTATCTATCTCTCTCAGTCTTTTCCGATCTATCTAGCTACTCATCTCAGTTTCTTCATATCTATGTTCCTTTTCTTTCTTGCTATCAGTCGATCTCAGTCTAGGCATATCTATCTATCTATCTATCTATCTATCTATCTATCTTTCTATCTATCTCTATTCATTTTTCCCTATGCATGTATTTATGCATCTATCTCAGTCTGTACATATCTATCTATCCATCTCTCTCTCTCTCTCTCTATCTATCTATCTATCTATCTCATATTATTTCCTATCTATCTATCTATCTATCTATATATATATATATATATATATATATATATATATATATATATAAACTTAGTCTGTTCGTATCTATCATTCTATTTCATTCTATTCAAATATATATATGTACCTTTGTCCACATATATGTGACAGTTTATTCATATATATATATGTGTGTGTGTGTGTGTGTGTGTGTGTGTGTGTGTGTGTGTGTGTGTATGAGTGGTATTTAGTGGAAAGTGCTCAATATCCCTGTAGACACGGAATTCAACACCCAGTTGTCCACTTTTATATTAAGTCATTAAAGGTTAATGTAATGGTCAGAGTTGAATTTGACCATGAAAAAGTAGTATTAAAAAGTGATAAATAAATTAAAAAAAAAAAGTGATACACGTATGAAAAAATATATGAATAAAAAATAACATGTAGAGCTTTTAACTTTAAAAATTAAGAGATCAGTTGATTTCGCTATCTGGGTTTCAATTTTTGTTCCTAATTGTTAAAGTATATTCAAATGTAATGTCAATCGACATCTCCAGTTGCCTTGATCTATGCACTATCCTTCTCCTCATCCTTTCCTCTATCACTCCTATCTGATCTTGCTCCAAATCTTCCCTTGCGTCCTAGTGGCTTCCCGCCTTGTTTGGGGTGAAACGCTTAAAAATATATATACAGTGTAACCCGGATATAAGAGAGTTGTCGGGGCCGGAGACGAAGTCTTTTATATCCGGGTTTCTCTTATATCCGGGTTTGGTCTATTTTATATACATTAACACAGGCTCTAATTTGGGACCAGGGAAAATCTCTCTTATATCCGGGTCTCTTATATCCGAGTTACACTGTATATATATATATATATATATATATATATATATATATATATATATATATATCGCTATTATTATTGATATTATCGATCTGTCATAGTCAGTCCATATTTAGCAATCAATTAGTTTTATATTTATGTACGCATTTAATATTTCCTGTAACTAAAATATATTTATGTTCATAACAGATGTTATAGAGAGTGTCTCAGAATGAACTATTTCAATGAAAGTGGCAAATTTAATAAAAAAAAGAGATCTGATAGGATTTTATGTTTATTACTTAATATATAATAGAAAACAAATAGCTTTATAAATCTTACGTCAAAACTTTAGTGAAAATTTTCAACATGTGCTCCGTCAGCAAATTTCAAATCTATCTTTAGCGTTGCCATTCTGAAGCACATTTTCCTGCACTGCTAACAACTGAATGCGTTCTTTATGCTCATCTTTTGGCAATAAAGTTTTGTTTTTTGTTTTTTTGTGAAACCCCATGCAGCGAAATCCAGGATTGGGTTCACCAAAGACGTGTTCTTGTACATTCATTCTTAATATGGTTCTGAAAGGGAATGAAAATAACATTAGGGAAAATGATAAAGTTCTAAAAAAAATTATAAATTGGTTGTTTGTTTAATGTTATATAATTCTTTAATGTTATGTAATTCTTTATAGAATATGGTTTTGAAAGAAGATATCATTTGTCTGCGTTGGATTAAGTTTTTTATAACAGCTAACTTATATCGTTGGGGGCATTCACTATTATAATTAAGACGCGAGTTAATCCTAATGAGTTTCCTATATATAGAAACCTACGAGCATTAATTGTTAATTATCCAAAACCATATTCTATAAAGAATACATAACATTAAACAACACCTGTTAATAATGGATTCCCTTTCATTGATCAACAAATTAATATGTATCTCAATAAACTTAATAATACCTTTAACAAAATTGATAATATTAATAATATTGTACGTCAAAATAGACATAATACTATTAACTTATACTATTGTAACCTAGTGTATAACAATTACAAACATGATGAAACAACACTCAAAATCATAATAGGAAGAAATATTAAACTCATTAATAATAATAAACAAGTTAAGCTCCTCACATATTATAAAAAAATTAAACCAATTGACCTCATAGTCTCTAATAACCCTACAACCAAAAAACTAAATCCTCTCCCAAAAAATCTAATGTAGTGTATCAATTTACATGCCTGTTCAGAGATTGTATCTTTGATACTAATAATAAAACCCACTACATATATTGGTTTTGCTACAACTACTCTCTCCCGTAGACTCACCTGTCATCTTTCTGATCTTAGTTCCATTAAACAATATTTCTTTGAAAAAACAGCCATGTATATAATATTAGACAGATATTAATTGATAACACAGCAATACTCAAACATACACACAGTAAAAAAAGAACCTTCAGATATTGGAGGCCATCTACATTAAAACAAAGCAACCCACACTCAACAAAATTACATTTCACTATATATATATATATATATATATATATATATATATATATATTTTATATATATATATATATATATATATATATATATATATATATATATATATAAAACTGACATATGCTGTAAATATATGTATTGTGCATATTATGCAACGAATATAGCGTTACTAACAATACTTTTATCATTCTCTTTTACTTCTTATTTAACTAGAAGATGAGATAAAGAGATAGAAGAAAAGAGGTTAGTCTATTGTAATTTGGTCTCTCAGAAAAGAAACTCACATGACACAAGAGATACATGATAAAATCATTTTTTATAAATGAAAATTTTGGGGTCGCACGATACGCGAGATCGTACTTTACACGAGTATATATGGTATATTCTTCTTTATGTGCCGTGTACCCTCACGATGTGGGCGATCACGGCTCTCCACAATTTCCTGTCCTTTTAACTCTTAATAAATTCTGTCTTTCTGTTATTTCTCCTAAACCCTGTTTCGCCATCAATTCACTGAAGCTTAAGCATGTTATGCGTTGTTTTCCTCTGTCCCTCTTGCCTTCAATCTGTCCTGTGAGTATCAGATTTACCAAGCTTTCTTTCCTCATTATCTACCCTAGCAATTTCAACTGCCGCTTTCTGATATTAAGTACAAGTTTCCTTTTTGTTTCCATTTCCTTTAAAACTTCGTCGTTGCTCACATGTTCGGTCCATGTTATCCTCAGCATCCTTCTGTAGAACTAGTAAATCTGTCTTTCTTTTTATGTGCCATGTCCTTTCAGGACATAGGCGATCATGGCTCTCCACCTCTTCCTCTATCCCTTGCAGCTCTCAAAAAGTTCCTTCCCTCTGCTTCCTCCCCCAGACCACATTCTGTCATCCACTTGCATAAGTCCGCCAGATATGTTACGTTTTGTTTTCCATTGTCTCTCTTTACCTCTATTCGACCCGTGAGTATCAGATTCTCCCGGTCCTTATCATGTGGCTCGGAAACTTCAGCTGGCTTTTCCTGATGTTAAGTATAAGCCTCCTCCTTGTTTGCATCCTCTCTGAGAACATATCGTTGCTCACACGCTCGGTCCATGATATCCTTAGCATCCTCCTGTAGAACCATATCTCTGTCGCTTCGAGTCTCTTCTTCATCTTTGAGGAAATCGTCCAGCATTCGCTGCCGTAAAGAAGGACAGATGTCACGTAACAGTTCAGTATTCTATTCTTTGTCACCAAAGATACCCTCCTGTCTTGCAGTACTCGGCACAGCTTTTGGAATGTGCCCTTGGCCATCCAAATACGTCTACGGATCTCAGTGTTGCACTTACCGTCTTCTGTCAAGACGCTAACCAGAAATTTAAACTTCCACGTCTTCTTGATTCTAGTGTTATTGACCTTCAAATCGCATTTCGGGTTCATCCTTTTACTGATGACCCTGGGTTCTGTTTTCTTGTAGTTTATGCTTAGTCCTTTCTTCTCACACTCCTTCGCTAACTTCTGTAGGAGATTTCATTTCCGTGTCTGCTATCAATACTGTGTCATCTGCGTATCTTATGTTATTAAGATTGATAAGATTCTGTCTGCCTCTACTTTTCATCTTTAAGGAAATCGTCCAACATTCGGGCTCATCCTTTTACTGATGACCCTGGGTTCTGTTTTCTTGTAGTTTATGCTTAGTCCCTTCTTCATACTCTCCGTTGCTACCTTCTGTATACCAAGTATATTTCTCACATCGAGAGAGAATGAAAATAATTTAGAATGAAGAATTCAATAAAGCATTAAAATCATCCAACATTCGCTGATGTCACGTAACAGCTCAGTATTATTTGTTACCAAAAAAATCCTCCTGTCTCTCAGTACTCTGCTCACGACTCATTAACTTGTCAAATGCAAAGCCACGACTGCGCATGTCACAAACTCATCATTCTCACACGCTCGGTCCATGATATCTGTCTGCCTCTACTTTTGCCTAAACTGGAATTTTGTCGGATGACCGTATAAAAATGGCTGCCTCTTATATGGCTATAGGACTGACGGTCTTATAGCGTCGCATAAGTAAAGTGATATTGAAAATCATCCTAAATAGGCCGATGCTATAAGTAGAAGAAATGCTAGCAGAGAAAACGGACTGGATATCGTTGTGGAATTAGCACCATAGAAACTATATTTAATTTCCGAGGTCTTTATTTTAAAAAATACTACGTGCAACACCAAAAAACATCTCCGACGTCTTCATAGATTTTTTTTAAAAAAAGCCTTTTTCAGAGTGTGCATAAATATGAATAAATATTGTGGGTAAAATCTAAAATCTCCATAAGAGAAATCTAATTCGCAATAAAATTCATGCCAACTACCGTGAAATGTTCACCGAGCACCCAATCACTATTGGGTTGGGAGAAACGAGCCGTTATCATTTGAAACTAACGTCCTTTGTATTTTGCGACTGGCTTCACACTTTCACATGCATAATTTCATTACAAAGATTATTTTTTTTCCATTGAAGTTCTTTGGACAGGAACTGAAATATCGAATTCGTTTTGCACGAATATCGCCGGACAAAGACATTTAGACCCTTCCCCCCACCTCTCTCTCCCTCTCTCTCTCTCTCTCTCATGCACACACACACACACACACATGCATACAAACACACACATTCTATCTGCATTCCTCCCCCTCAGCACGTGTGTGTTTTTGTTACTCACAGAGAATGACGCGCATACACAAGTCTGTGACCGACGGAGAAAGGGTTTCAAAAAGAATTCTGGT